TACCATGTTGCATCAATTTCACTACCTAAAATGTTGTTAAGATTAACTTCTTTCTTGTATCAGACTTTACTGAAGCATTTTTTAACCTTAGGAACGTAAAGCAATTTTGTGAATTGTCAGGGTCCTGCTACACACACTGTAATGAAGATAGGAAAAGAGAGAAAAAAGGAGGGAAGAAGAGGGAGGAGAAAGAAAGAGAAGAGGGGAGGGAGACAGAAAGAGTGACACATTGATTGACTGTAAATATTTTCTACAAAGGAAAGAAGTAATGTCATAGTTCCTGTGGTGGCCATATAATACTATATGATTTTCTTTTCAGTAATCTTACCCTCTTATGTTTAAATTACTACTGGATGCCCACTAAACTTATTCTTCCATAGAATTAATATTTTTATTTATAAGACCCTCTATTCTTTGACTAAAAACGTTAATAGTTTTGTGATAAGGATTTTTCTCACCAGGAAAAAAAAAAAACAAAATCAACACAATCTTTTCCCTTACAGTATAATCAGTCCACTTCTCATCACCACAGGTGCCAACATGGTTTGGGCTGCCTGCTCAATATGCTCAGAATTTCCTCTCCCTCGCCCTGGACCTGGCTCCCTCAACAGAGCACTCTCTCCTTCCCCTGAACTCTTGGAAGAGTTCTCCAGCTGTGACTGCACCTGAGTTCCACCCTAATAAACATACTGTCCGTTTTAATTTTACCAAGATTTCCTCGTTGCTAAAATTACTAACCTCTTTTTCACTTTTCACTCCAAATGACCTTCTCTGTCCCCAGCACACTGTTGACTACTAGCCACTCCCTAAAATGCTTTCCTCATTCATTATTCTTTTCCTGGTTTCTCTTCCTCTGCTTATCCCTTAAATATTGGTATTCTTCCGGGTTCTGTAAGGTTCCTCTTTTTTGTACATTGAGTAAAAGCCCTGGGAAATCTTGTTCGTGGCGTTGCTGCTCACAAAGTGTTTCCAATTCTCCCTCCTTCTGCACATGAGCTAGAAGTGCAATTCCCTGACTCCTTGAACTTGGCCAAGGCCATTTAATTGTTCTGGCCAATGAAATGTGACCCATACTGCTCGCTGGCAAAGCCTTAAGAATCAGTCAGTATGTAATTGGCCACATCAGTATTTTCTTATCCCAGTGGTCATGGAAATGTGTTTCCAAGATGGGCCCTGAGGGATCATGACCAGCAGGAGCTGCCAGCCTGCGCCGGACCCAGGACATGGGGAACACATGACAAGCAGCAGGAGCTGCCAGCCTGCGCCGGACCCGGAACACAAGGAACACAACGCTGGGGGAGCCACTGTGGAGTGTAAGGCACTTTATTATCACAGCAGGACTCAGCCCATCCTGACTGATAACCCCACTACTCATTCAAAAATATGTATTTCCAGCTCAATTCCTCTGCTGACAATGAACTCCAATGTATCAATGTCCCAATATGGCTTCTACTCAGAGAGCTGTCAGAATTGAGTGTTAGAAACATTTTTGCTACCTGAAGAAATCCACCAAAGCTCAGGTAAATGATGAGATGAGATTTCCCCTGTACATGTTTACCGTTTTGTTTGCACCAGCCTTCTCTGAAGCCCAAAAGTTTGCTTGTTTACTAAGCAAAAGAAAAACACCACAACGTCGTCTTCAGAAAATAATGTACCAGCAATAAATAATAAATAATAATTTCCACCTTCCCGTCTCTGTTCAGAGACCAATGTCACAATCCTTTTCCACTCAACATGTATCAACACCGAGGCTTTCCCTGGATAAATTACATGTTATCTTTCGCTCAGTGTAGCTTGCTCAAAACCTTGTCCTGAATTTTATTCTTGTAAAACTAGCATTTAACACTCAGAACTATTTAAGTCTATATTTCATTTCCCTGTGACGTTATGCCTTAATTGGATGTTTAAACACCAAGTCTAAGGAAAATCTCCTCAGGAGCTTCACTATCAGCAGTGCTTGTCTTGAGACGCGTCACGGTTCCACGCCTTGTGATCTCCCCGGCTCTACAATCGGGAACACTCTTCTTCCCGGGAGTTGTCGTGTGGATTCAAGACATAAAGCAGGTAAAGTTTTAGGAAAGTGCCCACCAGGTGGTCAATGCTCTCCAAGCCAGAGCTAGAACTGCTATCATGAATCCCTAACTGAGCATGTATTAAGCAACAGGAAGATACCAGTCACTGAAAGAACACTTTTACATCAGGTTGAAAAGCTAACATCGTCAGCAGCAAGAAGTAAATCCAATTCTGTAAAAGTCAAAAGACGTCCTTTCAATTATGATGTATATTCTGCCAACACTAAGCAAATTTAGAAGGCTATTTTTTAAGAAAGGAGAAGAGGAAGAGAGGAACAGGGAAAAGAAAAGAAGAGGGAGAGAAGGAATGCACACACAGTGGAAACTGGAAGAATTTCTAGGCCATGTGGTAGCTTGACAGTACAGAACCTAGTGGCTTGCATAAGCTCGTTACAAAACAACCATTTCTTGACTGGCAATCGGGGTTGGGTTGAAAAATGATGCCACTGAAAACCATTCATTTTATAGAAAAATAAAAATTTAGGTAACATTTACTGAGAATCTGTCAACGTGGCAAGTTCCTTCCTAAGAGCAACGTGTAGATGAGCATGACCTTGTTCCCAGCAACCCCGCGAGTCCAACCCCACTTCAGAGAGGGGAGGGTGAAGAGGCTGAGTGACACACGAGTGTGCACCAAGACCTGGACACAGACCCAGCAGCAAGGCTCCAGGGCTGCATTCCAAACCGTGCTTGCAAAACTAAGAGGCCGCTCCAACTCAGAACCAAGACCCTGAGTAAAGAGCTTGACGAGCCAAAAATAACAGGTGTATAAGATGAGAAGAAACAATAAAGTGGAGACTGAATTGAGGAAAAAATGACAGAAAATAAGTTGAACTGAAGAAAAAGGTGGGCTAAAAAAGGAGTCACAGTAAAAGGCAGTGTAGCTTTAAAGATTTTAAATTCATATTTAAAATTAAATTTACCCTCAAATATCATAAATGCAAAAGTAAAAAGATTTAGGAAAAAAAATCCTAGAACTGTACATACATTAGAATATTCTAGTTTTGTGGTTAGGTGCGGTGGCTCACGCCTGTAATCCCAGCACTTTGGCAGGCTGAGGCAGGCAGATTACTTGAGGTCAGGAGTTTGAGACCAGCCTAGCCACCATGGTGAAACCCCATCTCTACTAAAAATATGAAAATTAGCCAGGTGGGCTGGTGCTCATCTGTAACCCCAGCTACTCGCAAGGCTGAGGCAGGAGAATCGCTTGAACCCAGGAGTTGGAGGCCTGCAGTGAGCCAAGGTCACACCACTGCACTCCAGCCTGGGCGACAGAGTGAGACTCTATCTCCAAAAAAAAAAGATGTTCTAGTTTTGCTCACATGAAAGAAATAACATAGCACTTACCAGAAAACATGTATAAATACTTATGTGATTCTAACTCTATATATGATTACTTTAAAAATTTATTTTTAAATAATTTTAATACTATTGTAGAACTACTGACTTGAATATATTTGAAATGCAAATTAAACTGCAATGCAAGTCTAAAGAGAGAACTTTCCCCATTACCACAATTAGAATTTATACTCAGTAGTAACGCAGCATTTTTCTTTGACTTTAGCAAACATGTTACACACAGATATCTGGAGTTCTGTCAGGTACAGGAGATGCACACTGGATTTCCCGAGTGCACAGCTAAGGGCATTCTCAAGGCAAGCCCCAGTGAAAAAGCAAACAATCGACACAGAAGGCCTCACTCTATTTACTGCTGCAAATGGCCTGGGGCTTTATACGGTTGGTGGTATGTTACTAATTTTTGAAGAGTTAACCATTTTTAAAATAACATTCACCTGAGAAAATGGAATACATCTTGCCCAAACTTTTTGAGACAGAGTCTCACTCTGTTGCCCAGGCTGAAGTGCAATGGTGCGATCTTGGCTCACTGCAACCGCCACCTCCAGAGTCTGAGCCATCCTCCCGCTTCAGCCTCCTGAGCAGTGGGGACTACAGGTGCCCATCACCATGCTGGGCTAATTTTTGTATTTCTGGTAGAGACACGGTTTCACCATGTTGGCCAGGCTGGTCTCAAACTTCTGGCCTCAAGTGATTCACCTGTCCCAGCCTCCCAAAGTGCTGTGATTAGAGGCGTGAGCCACTGCACTTGGCCTATCTTTTCAAAGAATTATTTGATTTCCACTGTGTTGTAATAAGACTTCCAGCAAAAGACAGCAAAAGATAACCTTCACTATTAATTATCCACAGAGTGAGGCATAAATCCATGTGAGGATTTTTTGTTTCATCTAAATGCACACAAATTACATTTTAAATAAAAATGAGTAAAATCAATACTTAGGAAGAGCTTCTCATTAACTGTACATTAGCACATACTGTGAATTCATCTCATATACGGTATCACGATGATAGCAACTACTGAGGAGTCAGACTTTTTGTTAATGATTTTACACACATGTTGGATGCATAAATAACAATTTCAGAAATATAATCAATTCAGGATATAATCAAGCAGTCTTTAAAACTAATCTTTGGCTTTCAATATGCTTCTTCTGACGTGCAAATAAATAAAACTGGCTTAATACTATAACATCAAATTAAATACTATAAAAACATTAATACAGATTCCTTTATTTTAAAATGAACTATCAACATACAAGAGTGCAAACTGTAAAATAAATAGACTGAAGATAAGAAATTAGCCACAATTAACTGTCAAATTACGGGCAAATTATGTATCTAACCATGAAAATTTAAGACACATATAAAACTGATTAGCCAAGCAACGATACTTTTGGAAATTCACCAGTATGAGAATGTTGTTATATAAACACAGAGAATTCATATGGTAAATCACCAACATTTTCGAAAGTCTACTTTAAGCCAAAAGAACGAGCTTTCAGAACTATGCAGACTTTCTTGCTGAAAGGAAAAACAAGTTCGTTAAAGCAGTTGCTCCTCAATCTAGCCTACCTTATTTTTTGGATTGGATGTGTTCATTACACTTCGAGTCTCTTTTCCAGTATAAATGACAACACCTATTACAGTACCTGCAAAAACATGAAAGTGGTCCTTATAGAAATACTTTACAGATGAGTAAAAGATAACACTTTCTAATTCATTGTTTTGATGGAAAGCATTATCACACTATTTTATATAAATTTATCCAACAGTGTATTTAATTTGGCTAATTCAAGAAAATCTAATCTCAGCTTTAAAAATGGCCTTAGAAAATGTCAAACGATTTGTTAAGCAATACAAATGTACCTACATATAACATCAGGAAATGTACTAACATTCTTTTCACTGACAATAGAGACAATGACAATGGCCTTTCACTACTGTCTACTGAAACGGTGGTTCTATCACTGAAGGTCAATGAAGAGGCTATATTCTTAACTGATCAAACTTGCCCTTTGACCTTCAAATAAAGATGGTACCAGTTGAACCAGTTTCTTTTAATGTATTTCCACTGTAAAGATCAAAGTATTACTAAATATCAGTGACAGTCTTTGCTAATATTTCAAAATGTATACAATTAAAATAGAAATATTATAAAAAACAGTATTTGACTTTGCATTTATAGAAGCTATTACTCTTTTTTATACATGTCAAAAAGATAACAATAATTTTTAAATTCAAGAGAAAAGAATTTAAAAAAACCCTTGGTATGACCAATAGATTGCAAAGGCTAAAGGGCACTTAGCTCTAGAATGTCAGTATTAAAAATCATGGAAGTCTCTTTCTGCAACTACAGCTATATATTATTTATGTTCCTAATTTTCATCCTTAATTTTTTGTAAATTTTGAAGGTGAGAAACACAGTTAAGGTAAGAAAGTACATACACATAATGTGCAATTACCATTACAGAATTAACTATAATAATTACACAAAAACTCTTTGATGTCACATTAATTTAACATGTAAAATGTAGAGTGTCATACAACAGGCTCTTTGAAGTAAAGATGATTGATACGAACTCTCGGCTTTTTGTGAACCTTGATATTTAACATATTGTACATATTACATAGCTTACACCTTCCTCTCTAGAAAATCTAGGAACGGGGAAGATATGAAGTATTCCCCAGCAGGGATATGTGCAGGGATTATATATATTTCTCTTTTAATTGAGTGCCACTGAGAAAGTGTGAGGCTTCAGTTTGTAAAGTTCATGAAAGGCAAGGCCAGCTCACACCTGGAATACATGCTCCCCGATGCACAAATGCCATCTTTATTATTATCATCCACACAAACTTCTGAGATTAGATGACTATACTTACTCTGCAGGGAAATATTAAATACATAATAACACAATACTATAAAAAGCTTTCAAAAAGAGATCATAGAATTACTTTACATCAGTGAAGCTAAATATTAAATATTACCTGATCAGTATTTTCTGTTTTGCCAATCTAGTTTAACTAAATCAAACTATAAACATCCCACTAATGTTAAATTATCACAATGATGTAACAAGGCAAACTGCAAAATCAACTTATTTTTTAACATTAACAGAATGAGCAATGCTCAGAGAAGTCTTTGCAAGAATTAATCAAGCTAGAAACCCCTGACCTGAAAGCAGGTTGATGAACCAAGTGGACTCTAGAGTAGCCTTACAATGTACAGCGCCGAAATTCAATGTGATAAAGGACAAGGCATACGTTATACATTTTTAACAGAGGTCCTGGTACAATATTTGTATAATCTGTTAAAGTTTACTAAAGGCTCTCATAAGTATTCTCTCACTTGATTCTCATGAAAAATGACTACTTACTAGAATTAGATTAAATGAATTTTTCTGACTGTCATGCTTAATATCTAACGTATAGTATCAGTGCAGAAATATCTGGAACATTTTCCATTCTCTTTGACAAAGGGTATGTACTTATGAAGTAGAATAGGCTAAAAGATTGAGTAAAACCTGTACACACGGCAAAAAGAAATAGAGGAAAGGGGTTAACTGTGGATTGTGAAAATGAGACACGAGAGGACAACAAAATATGACCAACTCATTTTGTGTCTCAGAAGAGAACGGGAGACTGAGTATGACAAATATAAAATGTCACAAAGATTTCTCAGTAAATGAAATACTTAAAACAGGAGAATTCCAAAACTTTAACCCATATTTTCAGTGTAAAATCAAGATCCACCTCCCTCACAACGGGCTCCAACCGGAGAAATTTCTACATCAGAAAGATCTGAGTTCAGGATCATGTTGGTGGATTAAAACCACAACCACAACAACAAACCAGTTCTTAACAGGACCCTAAAAATGGTGGTGGTCCAGTATTCATCATTAAATCAAAAATTTAACTCCGTTTATCCCAAGAAAACATTCAAAAAGATTTACGAGCACTTAATCTTCAAAGCCAGTGGATTACATTTGCCTGATCCGTAACTGGACACTTCAGACTGACTACAGGTAAAAATTAATATAAAATATTCAGATGCTTTGGGTCCAAAAAGGGAGGCATAAAATATGACCACATTTACTCCTACACTCCACAGACCCCGTGACTAGGGCCCTTGAGACTTAGCCTACTTCCAAGAGGCTACTATGTGGACAGTCTGTAAGTCATTCTACAGTCCAACTCTATTATGTCCAACTTCTGTTCAATCACAATTTCATGTGAGTAGGATAATTACTCCCTTAGTTATTATGTGCCTTCTTTGCTACATGCTATATAGAAAATTTCATGCAAAATTATACCACCTTCTAATTGACTACAGTTGTATTTTAAGCAAATAACTTCCATGATGCAAAGCAAGACAAAGAATGCTAACAAGGTCAAATTTTGTAGAAAAAGATACTCTCCTTTATTTAAACGTTTCTAGTTTATATCACAAAACATAATCCAGCACTTCAAAACAAGTAGTCCACTCAATATTTCAAATGACAGGCCTACTGCAACACTTTTAGTTGCTATTTTTAACCACTGATATATTATGTTTAATTTGCAGATAATCAACCAATCCTCACAAATTCAAATTAAGATGATTCACAGAAAACTACATAAAAACACAAAATATAAAACCTAGACCACTTTAACAAAACAACTAATGGCCTTAAACTAAAACATCAAAATGATGTGAAATGCTTACTAAAAGTCAACACGTATTTCATGTGTGTCTAATGAGAGACAGAGGTATTAACAAATCAACGTATTTGTTGACCCTCAATTATACACCCAAAACCTGCTAGATGCCATTAGCAAAAGCAGGCAGGACCACATACACCAGCCTCTGGAACACACTCCAACTCGCAGATGCCCTCCAGGAGCCAATTTCCATAGAACCCCAGTGTGTACTGCTCACTGGGGCAGGTGCTCCCGGGCTGGACCCGATGATAGCAAGGCAGACACTGAGCACTACATATACAACTCCAATCACGCACCAAGTGCAAGAAAACTGATGAAGACCATGAACTGAGCCCCAGAATGTAAACGACCTAGACCAAAACTGATGCACAGAGTACAAATGAGACCCCCAACCAAGGTCTAGCGTCCACACAGCCAGGACACAGAGACACAGGAGACCCGCACCCAGGTCTAGAGTCCACATGGCCGAGACACAGAGACACACAAGACCCTCACCCAGGTCTAGACATCACGCAGCTGGCCCACTGAGTGACAAGGAGACCCGCACCCAGGTGTGCGTCCACATGGCCAGGGATTGCCCTCTGACGGCCCCGTCACACTTTTGTCAACCTTGCCTTAGGGAGCCGAGCTTTCCTTCCAGTTTTGTGACAGCTGAGTATCAGGAACACTCCTTTCTATGCTCATCATGACAGTAAACACAACAGTTCTCCAGGACTCCATTCTGCATTTTACAGAATAAGTGTTCTAAATCCACATGGGAAGTGAAACCTCAGGCAGCACAGCAGGCTCCCTGTGTCCTGCCTTGGGTCGCCTGTCTGTGTCTAACCTGACTCCTGGTTCCCATGCACTGAGAACTCTAGGACGGGGAGGAAGGGCCAAGTTCACTTCCCTCCAGAGTCAACTTGAATTCAACTGAGATACGACTTTTAAAGTATAAGAGTAAAAGGAATTCTCAACTTGTAATCAATTACAAAGAATGCAAGAGTGCTTAGGTTACTCTGGAAATCTTAAAGCCTTTCAAACATTCCTTAGGACATAGCACTGTGGTAAATATACAGAATGTGGTAATTGTTCACATTAATAAGGCTTTTAAATAAAGATATGTATGTACTAAAAGAGTTGTAATTAAAGAAAAAGCTTACATTTAAAGATGTTCGAATACAAACTAACATTAAAGGCACCTTAATTAAGCTTCTCAAATGGATGGTTTTTTTTTTTTTGAGACGGAGTCTCGCTCTGTCTCCCAGGCTGGAGTGCAGTGGCCGGATCTCAGCTCACTGCAAGCTCCGCCTCCCGGGTTCACGCCATTCTCCTGCCTCAGCCTCCCGAGTAGCTGGGACTACAGGCGCTGCCACTGCGCCCGGCTAATTTTTTGTATTTTTTAGTACAGACGGGGTTTCACTGCGTTAGCCAGGATGGTCTCAACCTCCTGACCTCGTGATCCGCCCGCCTCAGCCTCCCAAAGTGCTGGGATTACAGGTGTGAGCCACCGCGCCCGGCCGAGTGGACGGTTTTAAAGCCATCTTCATGCCCACTAGGAAGACACAACACTGCAGGTTAGATGGCAAAGAGAACAGAACGGGCAGGATGGGGCCGGCATGTCACAATGCCTAATTCGCGTCCAATTGGTCGGGTCCACTTGCCAAGGTCATCAAGAGAACCGAGGTCAGGAGACAAAACTTGGTTCAGGGAACTGTATCGGATGTCTCAAAAGCCTTTAGCTCGAGCAACTTCAGTCTCCCTCAGGAGAAGGGCCACAAATCAACAGTACTAGGGATCAGTAACATTTAATACACGTTTACACAGCACCCAGGAAAAAAAGATGAAATTTATTTTAAAAAGAGAAGCATTACTATCTTCACGAATGATCCTTAATTAAGAATAATAAATATCGTGAGATGGAAGAAATAGGCTGCAATAACTACGTATGGAAAATGTAAGCTTTCTCCCCATGTGTCAGCTTCTGAGTCCTGTATCATAAATGCTTTCGTGTAACTACTGAAAGTCGAGCACTCAAGGACACTGGCTTCAGGGGAAGGCACAGCTGGACTCCATTCTGGTCTCGGTGTGGCCTGGCTCTACGGTAACTGGCAGAGGGAACACACCTCCTGAGTGCAGTCATTCAGCGTGAGGCCAGACCGGCACTGACCGTACTCACCACCTGGCGGAGAGGCTGGCAACACTCATGCGTCTCAGCAATGCCAAGGCAGCAGCATGAAGACAGCTGGAGGGCAGGTTTCCCCGGCTGAATGTGCCTGCCCATGGCGTGAAGACCCCCACAGAGCCCAGGGTCCACGTGTCCACCCCGGAAGAATCCTCCTGGCATGAAGTCCTTCTCAAGCCTACAGAGCCCCGAAACTGGCCTGCTCACCTCTGAAGTCTCTTCATGGAGAACTGTCCTTGTTCTCCTTGTATGTTGAGAAATTTATATATGTATGTTTTATATACACACACACACACGTAACATTTATATCATACACAGATGTAATTTATATATAAACAACAGCAAACACCCACAGAATTGTCACCTATTAAAACGGTCATATACCCATCAAGCATTTTTTAAAGACACAGAACACTAGGATAAGATTAATCCTCTTTCAAATTCTATCCTCCAAAAAGCTAACATGTGTACTCCTCCTGAAGTTCGTTGTATAGTTTTGCACAGTGCAGGCCAACAGTTAAACACAAGCACACAAAGCTGCCCCGTTGTGTGACACCTGCCTTCTCCATGGGCCTGGCACACTGGCCCTTGGATCCTTTTCTTCAAGGTACTGTCTCTTGGTAGCAGGCTGCTAGCAGGAACGGTCCTCACACTGTTCCTGCCGCCCGCCTCATCCTGCCACATCTGCATATTCTTTAAATCTAATTTAGATGTTTCTTCTTCAAAAAAGCTGCCCTTAGACCTGGTCTATATAAGCTTATTTTCTTTTGTGAGACAGAGTCCCGCTCTGTCACCCAGGCTGGAGTGCAGTGGCGCCATCTCAGCTCACTGCAAGCTCTGCCTCCAGGGTTCACGCCATTCTCCTGCTTCAGCCTCCTGAGTAGCTGGGACTACACATGGCCGCCACCACGCCCGGCTAATATTTTGTATTTTTAGAAAAGACGGGGTTTCACCGTGTTAGCCAGGATGATTGATCTCTTGATCTGCCTGCCTCGGCCTCCCAAAGATGGTCTTGATCTCCTGACCTTGTGATCTGCCCGCCTCAGCCTCCCAAAGTGCTAGGATTACAGGCTTGAGTCACCGTGTCTGGCCTATAAGCTTCTTTAATTACAAAATTTCCATGGCATTCTGTACTTGTTTGTGATACTTAGCACAGTAACATTATCTAGATCACCTTCTTAATCTCTGTCCACAAAGCCATAAGCTCCCTGAGGACAGGATCTGTAACTGCCTTGCCCCAGACCACATCACCATGCCTGGTGTAGAACAGGTGCTCCATGCACATGCATCGGGGAGTGAGTGGCATCCAGGCGAGAAGGGCTACCAGTATTGGGCAGCGCTGAGAAGACATAGCTCCGACAATCTAGCCTCACATTCCGGGCTGCCATCACCTTTCGGGCACTCTCTTCCAGGGCGCCTTGCTGCTAAGCCCCATTACTGGCACCAGCATCAACATCAACCCATTCCTGCTTCTGTAGCGTCTCTCATTAAGGAACACTGACAAGTTTGTCAACAAACAGGTCAAAGACGAACAGAATATCCCTATACTCCTGCACAAAGGCTGCATCACCTCTCCCTGTCTCGGGCCTTGCGAACCACGTGCAGTGTCTGAGGAGCAGCACAAGCCTCACCACAAGCTCCCAGGACTGTCTCAGACCCACTGAGCTGGAGTCTGCATTTAGCAAGGTCCCTAAAGATTTCAGGGCACTGTGAGAAACACTTGTTTGGAGTCCCTGGACAAAACAAAGCATCATCTATCCGGGAGCAACCACACTCAGAGGAGAATGCTTTCCTTACCCGATGCAACAACGGTGCTTGCCCACAATGTATTTTCTATGCTGAGACTTTCATGAACGGGCGGGTCACTGTCTTCCTGTGCAGGGAGACAAAAAGAAAACACAACTGTCAAATAAGTGACTGTTCATTATTCATACCTTAGATATCCTCAGTGTTAGAAACAGGTCCGCAAGCTCAATCCAAGTGAACAGCAGTGCAAAGGCCCTGCAAAATAGAAGAAAAAAGGGACTATAAAAAATTGAAAGTACAAGTTCAAAGAAGTCCTGTAATCAATTAATTGCTTTCAATGCTTAACATTAATACACAAACAAAATAATTCTAAATTTTCATGAAAGTACTACATCTTCTAATATTTATTTATTTATTTATGAGGTGTTATTATGTCGCCCAGGCTGGTCTCAAACTCCTGGGCTCAAGCAATCCGCCCATCTCAGACTCCCAAGTAGCTGGGTTTACAGTTGCATCCAGCATGCCTAGCTTATTCAACTACATCTTTAACATGTCATTTAACAACACTCCTGGAAAGGTAGAAAATATTAGCACAGAAACAGCCACAAGTCAACTCTTCAACATTTCTTTTGCATGCATAGCATAATGTCCTCTTCCTATCTCTCGTGAAGGACAAGGGCAATGCTTTTTAAGTGTACGTGTATTCAGGAGAGAGAAAATGCTTCGTGAATATTGTTGTAAAATAAACATATATTTTTAAAATGTATTTCTCTTAAATTCCTCTTTAAAAGTATGCTATTATTGGCCAGGCGCGGTGGCTCACGCCTGCAATCCCAGCACGTTGGGAGGCCGAGGCGGGCGGATAACAAGGTCAGGAGATCGAGACCATCCTGGCTAACACAGTGAAACCTCATCTTTACTAAAAATACAAAAAATTAGCCGGGCATAGTGGCGGGCACCTGTAGTCCCAGCTACTCGGGAGGCTGAGGCAGGAGAATGGCACGAACCCGGGAGGCGGAGCTTGCAGTGAGCCAAAATCATGCCCCTGCACTCTAGCCTGGGTGACAGAGCGAGACTCTGTCTCAAAAAAAAAAAAAGGTATGCTCTTATTACACTAAATATTCTTAAACAAAATTCAAGTAAGTTATATGATGCTAACTACCTAAACAGATAGCAAACAAATATGGCCACACACCAGTATCAACAACAGCAATACATACAGTCTAGTTTTACATTTACACTTTCAATGTTCATATTCAGAGAAGAAAATTACAATTTAAAATCTGGGAATTTTTCATCTTGATGTAAAGTCACAGCCTACATTTTGGTTATGGAAGCCTTACTAGAATAAAGGACCGCAAGCGCCACAGCCCTGCATCTAGAAGTAACACAGGGAAGACGTCCCGTGTGGGAGGTAATGACCTCGCCATCTGGATAGGGTAAAAGCCACACACTGTCCTGACTGCCGGGCGTCCGTCTCCCATCAAATAATGCCACCTCCACAGAACTGTATTTTATTATGAAATGGTAATTTGCTATCAGGATATAGCTTAAGAAAAAAAAAAAATCAAATTTGAAAACGAAAGAAATTGAAAACATATTTTCCAAAATTATCTGCATGTACAAAATACGTTTATGCTACTGGTGTTTCCCTTCTATTTACTTATCAAGCCACTTTTAAATGATGTAATTTTGGCCATTTTGCTCATTACTTGGAAGATATTTGCTAGATATTTGATTCTCTCATATACTTATTTGTGAAGCACAGAATCTAAACCAATCCTAAGTTTCCAAAATATTTCCCCTAGTATGTCAATTATTTAGAAACTAAGGTATTTTCAATTACATTCAATCTGAGGAAGGGGTTTGGCCTCCAGTTGCCTTGTATGCCGGAAATAGCAAGCCCAGGAGTTGGGAAGCGTCCTGCAATGCAGGTGCAGCTCAGAGTCAGACTCTCCAGGCCCTGGGGATGGTGACCCTTCCACCACACCCCTTCACAAGAAGCAACCACCTGACCTGAGGACCGACCTCAGCATCTGAGCCTTTGGGGGAGTGAAGGCTATGATGCTGGGATTGTTTACAACACAGCTGGAGTGCTGTTTCTTTGAAAAAAAAAATCATTTCAAAAATAGACACTGGCATCTAAATAAACAGTACCTTGGTTACATCATCTACAATATGATCTCAGTAGGCACAAGTGCAATGCCAGCCACAACAAAAGACACAAACAGGTCTTCTCAGGGACGTCAAGGGTTTTAAGGAGCAAGTGCCCTGCAGTCACAGCTGGGATGGAAACAATCTGTCTGCAGCATGTGCTGACTCCAGCACGGACCAACTACTATTCCTGCAGATACACAAACACTTTCAATTCTACGGTCCCTCAGGAAGTCCTTCCTTCAATTCCAGTTTATCAAGTACAACACGTTGCACGCTTTGCTGAACTTAGCAGTTACACTTACAAAAATCTGATAATTAACCTGTATTGATATGCAAAATAGTAAGGATATATATTTTTAAGTGGAAAACCTGAGAATTATATTATCCCAATATAAGTCTGCAAGTTTACAGGGGAAAAGAACTTAAAAGGAAGAGTCAAAAGAGTAATACTAGTATCTGTATCAGGAAGGGAGGAGGGCTGTAAAAGTGGTTTATACCTTTAACTACTTTATTTTTATATAGTTTCATACTAATGGTAATATGTTTACAAATGTCAATATATACTGGAATCAAATTAAGCTTCCGCACAGTAGCAAACACACCACCGTTACAGTCTTTAAAACACAGAAGAACATTCAAGTACTTAATTTTCCAACACTGTTCTTGTTTTTTTCCACAGAAAATGCCAGATGGAAATTGCCTTTTGTTTACTTTGTTTATAACTAAAGTAGCTGCTCAAAGTACAGGCATATAATTTATCCAATGCTGAGATAAACAATCCAGAAAAACTGAGTTACCCCTATGACTTTTATGATTTGATAGAACAAGAAAAATATCAACTTTAAAGAAAAAGCAAGTAGCCTCTGTGGATTAGACCACTTTGTAACTGAATTTAGGATTGCACCGAAATGGGTAATTTCTGACTCATTCAAAAAATGGTGTTACAGTCTAACTCAGCTTCACACTGTGGAAGAAACAAAAAAAGATACATATCCTCATTCCTACTTCCCAGATACAGTTGGCACGGTATATCCTTTACCTCCTTTACCTGCTGGGGGTCTAGAGGTTCCAGCGTTGGCAGAGCCAGCTGAGCATACAGTTGGCATTAAGAAGTCAAATACTGAATTCTATATTTATCATTTTAAAGCATGAAGCAATACAATTTCTGTCTACCATAAATTCAGAAGTTTATTGTATCAGAGCAACTGACATGTTTCTAATCCCATGTTTTATGGGTTTTACCTTCCTAGCACCTAGCACAGAATAGGCAATGAACATTGTCCAATAAATAAAAGAACACTCATGAAATTCTTTTTCTAATATCCACAGGAATCAAGATGTCTTTCACCTCCAGTGCCTACTAGCACGATGCTAAAGAAATGAGTCACCTGCTTGTAGTTAATTTGAGTCTCCTTCTTTTATGAAGCATCAGGTACTTGCTCCTCCACGCCCTCCTGCCTGCTGTTACTCTAAGCTTCCTGCCTTGATCATTCATCAGGTACCTGCTCCTTCACGCCCTACTGCCTCCATGATGCACCAGGTACCTGCTCCTCTAGGTTCTCCTGCCTGAAGATGCTCATCATGACTTCACCACCCCAGTAGAAATTCACACAACTGTATTCCCTTTAAACTCTTCCTAATGATTCACTTGACGTGAAAGTTTAATTATTGATGCATGTCAATATTTTAGTACTATATTTTCTCCTAATGTCAAAGTCCAAGAGATAAGGGCATTAAAAAACATAAAAATTTTAGAAGGGTTTCTCAAATGTAAACAAAAGTTTCTATATAATTTAGTTTTAGAAATTTTGGCTGGTTTCCTGTTACTTTTATATGACCATTTTTTCATATGAATGTTTCTGTTTCTCTCTAACACAATTTTATGTTGAAGAAAATACAATACTTATGCATTTTTCTTTCAGGTCTGGAATGGCAATGATTGACTATAAACATTAAACATTTTTCTAACATGGAGAAAATTATTCCAAAAGGTAGTTTTTTACCAGTCTCATGAAGCACAGAATAAACGACTGGGAAGACTTTATCTTCCCAGTCTTTGAGAGAAATAAATTATCTCTAAAATGTTCCATTTTGCTTTCCTTCTCTTTAATGGTCTATAGTGTGAATAGATAAAATGTGCTTGGGTGAGGATGCAAAATGTTACCATTTCATGCTGTTCTCTCAACAGCATACCCTACTTAACAAACAGCAGAGGTTTGCTTTTTTGAAGGAGAGAATTTTGGCTGAAGAAGACATGAACAATGATAAGTGTGCTATGGTTTGCAAAAGAAATTACAGCAGAAAATACATTCTCAAAATGACGAACTCGGAATGTGACGTTAAAGGACCATAAATACTGCTAATATCTCAAAACTGGCTACAATTTCCAAATCCAAACTTCCAGGAGAATACACATAGATTTTGAACAATTAGTAAAATTAGCGATATCAATCATTCACATAATGAAAAAGGTTATACAATCAGTAATTTGGGTTGTTCTCACATTACCTGAGAAAAGCAGAAGCAGACACCATCACAGCCCCACATCTATATTAAATTCTGCACAGGCATCAGCATGCATATTGGGTATACTGCCACAGGGACCTTGAATTAATTTGCTCTAATTCCGTATTTATTTATTTTTTAAGACAGGGTCTCACTCTGTCACCCAGGTTGCAGTGCAGTGGTGCAATCACAGCTCAGGGCACGCTCTACCTCAATCTCACAGGCTCCAGCAATCCTCCCACCTCAGCCTCCCAAATAGCTGAGGCTACAGGCGTGCTCCAGCTGTAGCCATCCCACTAGGCTAATTAAAAAAAAAAAAAATTTAAATTAGAAATCAGGGGCTGGGCACAGTGACTCACGCCTGTAATCCCAGCACTTTGGGAGGCCGAGGCGGGTGGATCACTAGGTCAGGAGTTCAAGACCAATATGGTGAAACCCTGTCTCTACTAAAAATACAAAAATTAG